CGGTGGCTGTCTAATGAAGTGCGAAGACTTCTCCCACCGTCAAGAGTAAGCCCCAGGTACCCCGCTCCTACGTCCATCTAGCGTGAGTTTTCGACCGGTAAAATGCCCCTCACCGTATTTATTTACTGGAGTGACCTCTACAGGAGCGGGTGTGGATAGAAAAGGAAGCCATGAGGTGCCCAAACAGCTGGCCTTGTGAAACTGATCTTCGTCTGTCCTCTACCCCTTGACGTTTCAGGCATGAGTGGATCTGCGGCTGAGAAGCCATCCTGTATAGCTCGCAGGGTCATTCAGGCGCNAGGCGCGCAAGCCATCACACCACGCCAAGGTGCAGTCTCGTCGTGATGGACCCCGCTTACTACCACATCTGTTCTATTGAGGTCTTGAGCGTTTCGCCACTCCAAGTCTCACTATCATAGTTACTGACTTTCACCTCGACTTATAATGATAATGAGTAGAGACAATCACAATAGCTCGTCCTCGCTCTACGCATTCGCAAAGCAAACATGAACTCATNNAACGGCAAAGCATAATCATAATTCGCGTACCCGCTTACTGACTTACACTGAATCCTTTGAACCTCACTTGAGGAGTGTCGGTGGAATTTCGCTTTTTGATGGTCAAGAACCAAATCGCAGATCAAATCAGTTGACAAGACGAACTTACAAGATATTTTCAAAGGGGAAATTCGTCGCGTAGATGTCAAATGAAGCGTGAACTGAAAAGCTAGGAGGCAGTGGACAGCTGTTTCGACCTGATTGGGTAGCATGCTTGCGTTCTGCCCATGAGGTCCCGGGTTCGATCCCCAGTTAGGTCGATGGATTCGCAATGCTGATGAGATCCAACCAAGGCGAAACAGCTGTCCAGTGCTACCAAGCTTTTCAGTTCCCATATAAACGAAGAATTTTCCCTTCGAAATTGAATCAAATCCTCCATTACTCACATTAAAGAATATTGACAAAATATACTTTGTTAGTCTGGACCCCTTGGACTGAGTTTTCGGGAAAACACGTGAAGAATTTTAGCGTCTCAATCTCCTAAGGTGAAAACCGAACGTTGCAAATGTGGAAAATGTAAATCGCGTTCCGTTAAAAAAAACGGCAAATCGATTCGGCAAAGAAGAAATGGTTTCAGGAACAAGCGAGTGAACCCTGAGTAGTTTGAAACAGGTGCTAGAGTCTTCAAACTCATTACTGTCACTATATCAGTCAACTCTATCGCGTCTCTCGAAAACCTGGACGTGAAGCGTACATTACCGCTTTTTTAATCCATCCTGCAAATCTTTCGAGTGCGATTTTCTTCTCGACCTTCAAAAGGCCAAAACAAATCCGCCGACTGAATTTCAGCAATGTCACAGACGATTTGGTGCGCGAGTTGGGATCATGCATTACCACTGAATCCAGTTTCACCGATCCAAAGTTAGAATGAACCAACCATTCTGTGGTATGTTGTAAACCTCAATAAACCTCAATATGCCGGAATCGTGCGTTACCTCATCCATCCAGTAGATGATTCAACATATGATCAAAAACTGGAAAAGGCCTTGCGGGTCGGTATCACGAAAAACAGCTGTTTATGCGAAAAAGACACCGAGTCGTTTTACTTAGATGCCAGCAGTCTTTTGTACCATGTGTGTATGTGTTTGTGCACCACTCGTACTCTACTTGTTTGGGTGGCTGAGGTGGAATCCCATCACTCGTGAAGGAAGGACTGGTCGTCAGCTTCTTTTCGGGATCGTGAACTGTACCATTCTTGGCATTTTCCCACTACGACTTAAGATTTTTAACCAACTATGCGTTTTACACCAAGTCAAGTCAAAATCAGGATACTGTTTGTCAGCCTCCGATAATAGGAATTTATCGTGCAAAAGGAAGAACACACAAACCGGGATACACAGAACCATGAAAAGAAGCCGTTGATCAGGTAGTTGGGCGGTCAAGTTTATGGTCGCATTGACTCGTAGCAGGTCCTGCGTTTGAATCCCAGCAGTACCAATCAGAATTATCTATTCTAAGTGTCCCCCGGAAGGTGATTGCATAACTGCAGCCACACCCTGAAGACTGTGCCATTATATCCAAGTGAACAGATTAGCACAATGAAAAACGAAAGCACAGTTCCCTATTGGCTTAGTCACCTGTTTTTTATGTGCTCCGAGCGAGCTCCTAGTGAAGAGAACAGCACAGACCGTTACTTACATGGCCAGTTGTTGAATACTTGATCGATCATCAATTGGAGCATAGCTCTATGGGCCGCGGCAGATTTTGGTGGTTCCGCCACATCCAAGATGAACGAAGGAGCGACCGGACACCGTTGTACAAGTGACACGGATTGATCATTCGTTCGAGTGGACAACGCGGGGGTCCACTGTTTCGCAGCACATGCCGCTAAGTAGCTTCCCAGTTGTTCTATAATTCTTTTTGAAACTGCTTCCCAAGACCGTCGAAACCTATCATCGCGGGATTTGCGAGTATTGGATGATAGGGATGCACCAACAGATGCCGGTGCACCAGGAGGAATACTACTTTGGACCTCGTTTTGTACCAGTTCCATCACACGAACGAGACTAGGAACAATCGCAAGAAGTAGAACAGAACAAGTGTGACAAATTGATAACAGGAAACATAAAAGTGAAACTAATGACAAGTGTATATTCGATTCAGTTCGGTTTGTACAAACCATAGAATGTAATCCTGCACTGCTAATTCCGTTCTGTGTAGATAGATAGTATAAAAAACGATCATGAATATGTGAAGCATTGATTGTTATCAAGCCACAGTTACAAGGTATGGGTAAAAGTAATCGAGCAATCTGCAACTGCGAGTTCNGAGTTCACGACAAAGCTGTATCACAGTGCAGCAACCACTGATTCGACTGGTCTTGAGGGAGGAAGGAAAGGAGAGAGCTAACGTGGTTTGCATGCCTCAATCTATTTCCTAACGCTTCATCACAAGTCAAGTCAAGAAAAGCTTTATGCACCCAAAAGGTGAATTTTCAGTAGTTTACGAGTTTTACGGTGGATAGATAAAACCGATTGCAAATAAAAAAGGACAATATAAGGAATTCTACACTTTAGTAAATGAGAGAAAAATTAGTGCAATAGTTTTTCCCTGAGGTGGATCAGAAAATTCTGACGATTAACCGGTAACCAAGCTAAGTATGGAATTACACTGTTTCGGTATGTGGAAGTCCGCGCAGGAAGGAGTTGATATTTGGAGCGAGTTCGGGAATTTGACAGGGCTTTCGCGATATCTTGGTGCAGACAGTGCCCTTGATCACGTGTTATCCTGTCAATGAATGTATCACAAGCATTAAGATGCTTGGAAATAAAGAAATCAACTAAAATAACTCTATCAACTTCACTGTAGCGGGACAAAAGTTTAAGGGATCTCGAAAATAAAGTGAAATTTTCAAACATTCATTCAAACACGCTAAGTAATCGTCTAATCACAGTCCGTTCATTGCAATGGTATCTATCATATAGAAGAGCGATCGCAAATCGAGGACTCGGAACATTCGGGAAGCAAACCAGGGACGAATCTGCATTCGCTATTTTACAGTTTTACATTATACAGCAGTGTGCCACAAGTTTAAACGAGACAGGTTTGGTCTGCTGGAGGAGAGGGGGACCGGAGCGACACCACAGATTATTTGCTCATTTGCTAGGCAATCCTGAACGCGCTGTTTTGGAAACCAGCCACCCCTAGATCAGTTTTTAATGCATTGGACTGGACGATGACGATCTGCGTATACAAAACGAGCATGTTATATCTACAGTTCGGTTCAGTTCAGTTCTTACAACCATTAACCATGCACTTTCGTGTGCCGGTTTTTGGGTGCTGTCTTTAGATTGCCCATTTGGATAAAATAGCAGAATGAAGATTGGAATATTGAGAGCAAATTCAAGCGAATGGTAGCGAAGTTACAAGAAATATGAGTAAATGCATGAGCGCCACTGTTTGCGACATCCAGCCATACCGCTCAGTGTTTCTAGCCCTGAGTGACTATGATCTCGGGGTCCCCAGCCAGGGGACCTAGCGGGACCTATGTAACCCAATTACAAGCTTCTGGATAGTTTTTTTGTGCTACTAAGTGACGATCCAGGTAAGTTGCAAGCTTTTCTGGATAGTCTGAGTGCTAATGTACGATGTTCGGTATGCGTTTTGCACCTTCAAAGTGTAAAATGCTACTACAAGATTGGGTTGATCCAGCGCCCAGTCTCACCCGAACTGGGGAAGTAGTAGAGGAAGTAGACAGATTTTGTTATCTAGGCAGCTATATCTCACCCGGCGGACGCATCACAGATGAAGTGTCGGCGCGCATCTGGAGAACTGTAACACCTCCAGAGGATTATATAGCACTCCGACAAACGATCAATGCAGTCCACCTATGGTCAATAAGGTATGACATCGAATTCAACGTTTCCAAACGCAAAATTATTTCCATGCGACACCAGACTCGTTTCCCCCATGTTCTAGGGAATCAAATATTGCCGAATGCCACCGATGAGGGATTTGGAAGTTATGGTACAGGAGGACGTTGGGTGTTCCATGCGCTGTACCAGAACATCATCCATGGCTCCAAAACAAGTCGAGCGTGTTATCGGTCAGTTCGAACAAGTACTGTCCCCATGCTTTCTATCAGCGTTCATTGGGCCACACACGGAGTACGCCGTCCAAATGTGGAATCCACGGTTGAACCGCGATAAGAAGCCTCTAGAACGTCCGAAAAGGTTGGCAACAAAATTGGTAAAGGGTCTGTATAACACAAGACGTACTCCGAAAGACTACAAATATAGGGTCTTTAATCATCTCGATACCGTTGACTTCGAGGGGACCTAAACCTCAAATGTTCTAACTGTCGTGGGCTGCACACATCAGGGTATATAATATCGAACGAAATGCGATGGCTTGAATGTAGTTATACTTGTGTGCAAGCAACTCGAGGTTGTATGGAGTAAACGAAGAATTTTTTACAGTTCTTTGCAAATCACGTTCAGCTTGAGACACCTTGTGTGTAAAGATAACTATTGATGCGGATGGAGCGGAGGAGAGCGTCTCAAGTTTGGTGCGTGCGCCTCAGACGTTCAGGAAGAACAGCATGGTGGCTAGGCAAGTTCAGGTGGATGCAGTATCGCTCTGACGCACAGGAATGAGGGAACGATGGGCTTAGTTGTGTTTGAATTTATGTTGAAAAATTCGGTCCTCCGTTGCGATCATCCCAATCCCGTTGTGACCAGATCTGGTCTGGCTGGAAGTGAGTCGATCGTTCAAATAGATTCACAGAACTTTTCTCGATGCTGTGCTCCGTTGTACGGAGCAAACCATCGGGTTTCACAGCTTTCGGTGGACCACATTTCCTACCGGTTGGAATATCCTCCTTCAGTTCAGGAGTGCTTGGAGTTTGAATGGGATTTGCCGATTGATTCGTTTTGCATAGACAAGCTTTGTGATGGCCAGGGTCAAAGAGGTTATGGAAACCCCGTTAACGATCGCACGTTTGAGCATGTTAAGGAGCTGTGGTCGTGGTGTCAACAAATTTTCAGTAAATGAAAAATGCCCATTGCCATATTGAAAACAAAGTCTGGTAGGCAGAACAAGCTGTTTTTCGATAAAATTCATCAACGGGCCATTACAATTATATACGGCTATATATGTTGGTCGATCTGGTTTTGATCGCATCAAAGTAAGTACAAAACGTCCGCTAAGATTGTTGTGTATTTGATGCTCCCCTCGATTGGTGCATTGGTACGTTCCCCGGGGATGGGGTGGAGTGGATTTCTTCATTCGAGGTCAGGGCAAGGCTAGATCCCGAACGAACTGCTTTTGGTTGCACCGGGGGGGGGGATTCAATGTTTGGATAGCTAGCGCCTCGACTATGCATAGAATGATAAACCGAAGGCGTTTTGGCAGAGATGATGACGTGTGGTAAATGGTGTGGAAAGCTTGACGAACATTGATATTGTGCCGTGTCTCAAGTATAAGTTGACAGAGCACTTTTTTGCCGTCCTAGTTTCATCGTGTCTCAACCAGCGGGGGTGGTGTTAATCTTTAATAGCTGTCTCATAGTTCGCTCCACAAGAGCAAGTGAACACGTAAAAGCACATGGATGCGGCTTTAGGGGACAATTTATCTTTGAGGACGTAGTGAAATTCATGCGCAATTCGGCTGTTGTAAACGTTTGACTTAACGCTCGACTGATCCATCGTGTAAGCCGTATATAATAACCGTATAATAATAAGAACCGCATATAACTGTAATGGCCCGTTGATGAATTAACCNTAACCGAAAAACAGCTTGTTTGTTTTCAACAAATTTTCAGTCGATCTCGTCACATCATAATTTGGTTGGCGCGGATCTGCGAACAGTCGGAACCTAGGAGAACGCTCAGGAAGAATGATAATCGAGGACACAGCACACCACAATATGTGGTCGACTGGCATTCACTGTATAAAATGGCTACACTAGTACGGAAAAGTTTATTACAGTCATAGACGGTCATAAAAAGAACAAAAATATCCACGCAACGGTAACACTGGGCAGGCAAACAGGCTCACCAAGCCAACAAGTCCAACATTGCAGATGACTCGAAACGGTTTAATGCTGGAAACGGTTTATTTCGTATCGCCGCGGCCAAGAAGCGATATAGTTCCGGATAACGTATGACACAACTGGTGCTTGCGTTTTTACTGTTCTGCGGCGTACTGTGGGATGGTTCAGAGGTGGTGGTTGTGGTCGTCGTTGTCGTGGTCGTGGTCGTGGTGTCACTGGTGGAAGCGTTAGTGCTGTGCTCAAGCTCACTGGCAAACTTTCTCAAAGCCTAGATTTACAAGATGAAAATGAAAAACAGCAAAGGACATACCACACAGTAAGTTGCGCAGACAATTTATGTAAGGTCAAACAATTCTGGGTTGTAAGTGTACACTCAGCACGAACTGAATTATATGGTAATAATTAGAGATAATAATAATAATAAAAGAAAAAGAAGGAAAGAAGAACGTACCGCACCAGTCGCTTGCGAAATTGAAAAGGTATCAGGAATGACACGTTTGGTGGTCTGAGTTAGAATCTGATTAGAAGTAAATTATCAGCAATCAAAGTGGAGAACCGACTCACATCAATGGTACTTTCGGCCCGAACGGCCCGTATGGGACCGGATAGGGCATCCACCGGACAGGCTAATATGCGATACAACAATTCTCGAACCTATCAAAATGATCAATACCGATTAGCATTTACCTCAGTAGCAGTTTTTTTGTCCACGTAATCGGCTAAATCTTTGAAACTTGATGTACGATCCCTAGTGAAACGGAGGAAAAGATGTTAAACCGCATGCGCAGTCGATAATCGTACCGTTTTAAAGCGGTTAGCAAGTGATCTAACTCCGCATTAGACCATCGTCTTGCAACTTCATAAAGTGCAATGTACCTAGCATCATTGGTACACATAATGAAAAGTCGGATTTCTGTAAAAAGGAAGGCACCTTTAGAACTAAAAGTTCAAGCAAAAGTAATGGTAAGAGTTGATCGATCCCTGGAACATGATATGAGTCAATGATCTTACTATTGAGAAAACAGTGGCGAACAAACCTTATCTTCGATAACTTCTTCCTAGAATTAATACGGTTTACACATAGGGTTCAAAACTGTTGAACTAGTGTAATCGTCTGATGTAGTGAATATTTCTGGTTGATTGTGATCTTGTGACACGTGATTCAGCAAATAAAGGACAATTTTTTGTCGTTGTGCGATTTGGGAATGTTCACAGTAGATGGATAGATTGAGCTGTTTCGTTTCCGGTATACTTCCCTGGATGATGTCAAAGTTCACGATCGTTTCGGTCGGCTGTCTAAATATGTTTCAAACCTGTCAAACATTACAACGATACAGGACGAAAGCCGA